TACAAAGGCAGCCCTCCATCAAGTTCCAGCTATTCTCAGCTCAGCTGTACAGCAGCCAGCCAGCTGACATATAAAGCATATAAAAATAAATGCAACTTGTATTGTGAATGTGTAATCTACATTCACTGAGCTCAGTGCCATTTATTTAAGTTACTGGAGGGTGATTTTCATTAAAACACAAATGCACACAACTGCTACTGAAGCTATTAAAGTCTTAAATATTTGGTGCCTTTAAATGTCAGGATTTATACCAAGCATTTTCTTGTTTTTGCTTGAAAGAATCTACAATTATGAATAGGACAAGAAATAATTGGGTTTTTAAAGGCGGGAATGTGATCACATGCTAACAGAACTGAGCACTTTCAAGATGATCTTTCACGTTGATCCCATTTTGCAATACACAGGATGCACATGGGAAGAGCAGGATACTCCCTGCTTCTCCAAAAGTAGTTCTACAGGATCCTTCTCCCTGACGTGCTTGTTTTCTAAAGGCTGGTGCATCCTGAGGTAAGTGCAACATGTCCAGATTCCCTTCTTGCTAGTTAACTCAAGGAAAATTAATTAGGTTGAATGCAAAAACTGACTCCGACTATATTGACGAGATAACATGGTATATTGTGGCAAGCAGGGATTTTAATAGAAACAACAACATAAAAAGAAATGTATTTACCGAGATTAGGGGACCCAGCTGCTGCAAAGTATAATGTGTATAATGGTGATACTAATGAAAAGATAAAGAGCGACTGAGAATATTCATAATACAACATAATTTGGATCAATGCAAGGAATTATTTCCTGAATTGCTATCAATTCTGATTGTTTTCCTGCTTCATAATATGCTCTTACATTGTTAGGGTTGCTACTTTTTTGCATATCAATGTCATAGCCATCTGAAAAATATACAGAAATGTAAGCAGTCGAAGCAATAATCCTAAGCACTCATGATAATGGCTGTGCATTCCTTTCATTTCACCTCCGTGTGGGTGAGCAAAAGGTGTTCCTTTGTCTTTGATATGATGCTTCATGCACTTCATTAGCTTATATATTCTATTAACTTATTTTCAGAATGAAGCGGTTGATTCTAATGATCCGTCCATGGCAACACTGGATGGGAACGTAAAGCAGGTTTTAAATCATGACTGCCTCTTTTGACAGTCAGGACCATCACCACTAACAGAACCAATTCCGTGGCCACTTCCTGGCATGGTTTGTGCATTGACCGTGAGCTGCTCCTATTGCTACACACCAAGACAATCTCACAAGACGTGAAGGCAAACCCCAAGTTTTGTGTGTTGAGTTTCCATATGCCCCTCCAAAAGCCCCTGTTAAAGGGGTGCTTAGCATGCACTCACCCCTTCCATGGCTGCTGCTTGTACCATAATGGGGTACTGAGTGTGAAAATGGGCATCAGTGGTACTTGGAAAGGCTTAGGCTTGATCACTTGTTTCTCGTTTTAAAATGTATACACATTTTGTACATACACTCCTAGTCACATTAGTGGAGTAACTAATCCATGATCTAGGAACTGACTAAATACTGTGCCAACCATTCCTGTAATAAGGGAGATCACTTCCCCTTAACGGATGTTGCAGTATTTGCTGCTGCAATCTTTGAGAAAGAGGAGAAAGTGCGGAAGAAACTTAACATCCTGCAGCTCCTGCTACAAGAGAACCCAAAATTAGTGCCTGCATCTAATTGGTATTCTTATCATTTTCACTCCAGATGTAATAAAAGAGTTGAAGGCTAATCTACATATGATGCAAGAGATCTAACATGTCCAACATGACAAACTTGTCTCATTTTTTTAACTTCAGAGCCTCCCACGCCCAAGGCTGTTTTTAATTGGATTGGAACTGCAACACAAGAGGGCCTTTTTTAACCATTTCAGCCTGTACGACGTTTTTCCTGATCTAAATCAAACCCCTAAAGCTGTTCATCCTGCTAGCGGGAAACATACAAGCCATTAAAGATTAGAGTCTCCTTCTTCCTAATCAGCCTTTTCCAGACCTTAAAGTACGTATCACTTTTTTAAAAGAGTGATTCACAGTCTGAACAAGAAAAATAAGGAGATTTACACAAATAATGGCCTTATTTGTGAAATCATTGAGCAACTAGTATTTACTATTTGGCTGCTAGCTGAAAATAAGCAACTGTAATCCTTATCAGCGCAGCCACTTGTGTGTTTCAAACAGGAGACTTTGGAAAGGATGATGTATGCAAAGAAGATAGATCGTATTTCAGGAAAAAAGCAGCTCAGAACTGAAACCCCAAACCAATGTTAGAACAAACAAAAGGAATAATTACTTCCGAGTTAGGCTTAGTTAAGAGCTTAAGTGTTCTAGTTAACTATTAGTAATCACAAAGAACAATTATTAATAATATATTTGTAGTTTCCTGAGTTTTTTCCCCCGGGAATCTCTAAGTCAATTTTCATAAGCAGATCAACTCACACAATGTAGGAGGAAGGACTTCAAATGAGAACCAGCATTTCTCAACTCTGTCTCATTTCAGAAGTGAACTCCCTGTTGCCAGGGGCCAAATGCATCAGCTCTGCACAAATAATATAGAAGTGAACTCCAACTGCTCACGTAGTATTTCCTTTTCATTCAGAACTTCGCTGTGTGTGTATACACAATGCTTCACGGAGGTATGAAGCAGCATATGACTTTTCCACATTTTGTTGTCTTACAACCAGGAACTAAAATGGATTTAATCAGCACTTGACACAGACAAGACACTCAACACAGTGAAGGTGCAAAAAATGTTTTTTAATTGTGGCAGGAAAGTAATCAAAAACGAAGTGGTGCTTGATGGTTGTATAAGCTGAGTAAGGATAAGCACTGGGCAGCAATTACAGCTGTTAGTCTCTTGGGTAAGCCTCTATCGGTTTTGTGCATATGGATGCTGCACTGTTTATCCAGTCATCCAGCACTCTCAGGTTGAATAAGGACTGCTGGTGAACAGCCACCTTCAAGTTCTTTCACAGATTCTTGGCTGGACCGAGGTGTGGCCTTTGCTTGGGCTATTCTAAGATAATCAGCTTCTGGCTTTTGAACCCCCCTCATTGTTTTACTGTGTGTTTAAGTGTATTATTCTGCTGGAAGGTGAACTTCTGGCTTAGTCCCAGTTCACTTGCAGGCTGAAATAGGCTTTGCTCTAGAAATGCCCTGAATTTGGCCCCTTCCCTATTGCCCTGAACAACTCCCCTGCCTTTTCCAAGGAAAAGCATCCACAGAACATGATGCTGCCACCACCACGCTTCACTGCAGGGATGGTGTTTTTAGGCAGTGTGTGCTGTTAGTTTTGTGGGACACAACATTTTGCAGCAAGGCCTGAAAGATAACATTTGAGCTCATTAGAGCAAACTGGTTTCACATGTTTGCTGAGTCTTGGTGGAGTCTGTCACATGCCTTTCTGCAGCCTCCAAAAGATATGGAGATGTAGTTTGTTATGGACTTGTTTCAGCAATACCTTGCTTCTTGCTACTCTTCCATAAATCCCAGTGTGGAGTATCTGAGTGCTAGCTGACCCATGAACAGTTGCTACTGACTCAGCAGCAGATCTTTCTGGCTCCTTAACCATTACCACTGGCCTCTTGGTTGCTTCTCTGACTAAAGCCAACCTGGTGGATAGCCTTCTCCAGGGAGAATTGTAGTTGGGCCATATCCTTCCTGTATTTGCAACAGTGGGTTTAATGCTGCTGTGGGAGATGTTCACACTTTAGAATAGTTTTTGAAAACTCAGCCCGGATAGATGCTTTTGCACAACTTTATGTGAGAGTTGTACTAACACCTCCTTGGTCTTGATACTGTTTGTTTAGCTGTACTTTCCAACAAACTCTGGAGCCTTCCAGCATAAGGTGCATTTTATCTGAGATCATGCGGCATTGGAATTGCACACAGGCAGACTCCACTCAGCTACTTTCCAGCACAGTGTGTGACTTTTGGAGGCAATGGGCTGCACCACAGCTTATATAGGAATGTCACAGCAAACGGAGTGAATACTTCTGCAACAAACAAGTGCCAGTTTGTGTACTTTTGTACCCTCATAAAGATATTTTGCATGTTCACAATGTTGAGTATCTTATGTACATCAAGCGGTAACCATGCCAATTAAATCTATTTTATTCCCAGGTTGTTACACAACAAAATTATGGTGATGTTGTTGTATTTATGTCCCAGTCCTTTAACTTGCTCTATTTGTGGCCATCTTTATTGGATAGTCTTGCTATTTTGCTCAAGTTCAAACCTCCAGTAGTTCATAGAAACCAAAATTCAGGTTATTGGCTCAGCAGTCATAGAAGTTTGGGCATTATTATGTCTAGGCTTTTTCCTTCTTTTGTAACTCACTTTAAAGCACATCTGTATTTAAATTTCCTGGATGGAGTAGGTAGCCCAGCTAGTCTGTTGGGTGTAAAAACAACAAAGAGAACTGTGTCATCTTAAAGTCTAACTTATTCTGGCATAAGTTTTTGTGGACACTGTCCATGAAAATGTTAGTTTCTGAAGATGACACAAGTGCCTCTCTTGCCTTAGGCAAGAGACTATGTTGTAGCATCTGGTCAACCACTGTGTGAAGAGAATGTTGTTCTATTATTGTTATTATTTATATCCTGCTTATCCCAGAGACTGGGACTCTAGGTGGCTCACAACATTAACATCTACACAATTAAAACATTCAAAAGTACACCAAAATAAAAAATATAATTAAGTCTACTAAAGAATGCTGGACTAAATTGACACCGGATCTCATCCAGCGGGTCTCTTCTCATGCCATCGGCCTCAGAAGCCTGAGCAGGCTAACAGAAGCAGCCATCCTAGGGCATGAGCGCCCTCCGTGCGGTGCAAGAGGAACGCTCGCGCAATGCTGTCGCGCGCCGCGCTCGCCTCCTCCGCGCAATGTCGGAGTGTAGGGTGCGCAACGAAGCCGCGTCGTATGTTTGGCGGGAGGCGCACTTTGACGGCCGCATCTCCAGACGACCCAGTGAGGAAGAATAGGAGGGTCAGGAGAACAGATTCGGAGGAGAAGGCGGGCCGGGATGGGCTCAGCGTCTCTTAAAGAGGACTCGGAAGCGAGCCGGTCGCCCCACCGCGCGAAGAGTCGGCATAGCGTCCCTTCGGCGGGAAGCGCTCCACTCCGAGCCCGCTGGGGGGCGTGGAGAGCGAGCATGTGGTAACAAATCCGGCTAAGCGAGCCGGGACCTCCGGGCTCGGGCGTGCGGAGGCGCGAGTGACGCTGCAGGAGGCAAGAGCATGAGCCCGGAGGGCGTCGGAGGGGCCCCTGGCCCCGCGCCGCCGCCGCGCCGCCGCCGGCCTGCCTCGCTTCTCCCGTGCCCCTTACTGCTTTCGCTGGCGCTGCTGTTGCTCTCCCGCTCTTCTGCAGAGGAGGAGAAGGAGCCGCGTGAGTACCGCCCTCGTGGGAGGCCGCCCGCAAGGTGGAATCCAGCCCTCCGTGTAGAGCTGGGTTCCACAAATTGCGCTCTATGCAGGAGAATAATAATAGCAACAATAGGAAGTGATCCTAACGCTGTGCGGAAAGTACGCACGCTCCCGCTCCGAGCTAACGGTCGGCACAAGTCCTGCTTGTGATATTGGAAAGGAAACTTTTCTTCGAGGGTTGCAGCTCCACGTAGGGTAGAGCCCAGCGCCTTAAAAAGCGACTCCTATATAGCCGCAGTATTATTAAAGGGTTTGCAGTTTCCTAATGTAAATACTGTCGGTGCTGCTTTTCAAGCAAGTTCATGCTCAAACGGAAAAATACTTCAAAAAACAATCTTTAGTTGAACAACGGAACAGTGCGGGATAAACAAGTAATAGCAGTAATAATCACTTGTTTTCCCCTCAAGTGGCTATGACAGAGGTGCTGCACTATTCACGGCAGTGTAACAGGCAGAAATATTGTAGCTGAAACCTTTCCTGGCGCAGAAATGTAGTGAGGCAAGCTATACCTTTTGAATTACTGCTTGTTAAAGGCCCAAAATTCTTGGGAAGTTAGGTGTGCCTGTTTATTGTAAAGGCATCGCTTGGTGCTCCTTTTGTGTCATATTCTCCCAACGGAACGTCTAGATATGCAGTCAGACACCGAGAAATACCCACCGTCCCCTAGGGAAGCTGGTTTCCACTTTTGGAGCCATGCTTGAGCTGAAGGTGGCATTTTTGGGTCCCTCCCCACTCCATTTTATGGATTGGTTGGACTGAAGGATAAGAGGCTGGCCCAAAATCACCCAGTGAACTTCATGGCAGACTGGGAATTTAAACATGTTTTTTCCCAGTTCTAGCCTAACCGTTACACAGTATACTAGTACAAACTGCTGTAATTGTCAATGTAGTAGGTATTTCTTCCATGCTGAGTTAATATTTCATATACTTCAATAGCAAATATGTATTTTATTATTACATTGCATGTATACACTGCCTTTTTTCATCTTACAAAGAACTGAAGGCAATTTGCATAGTTTTCCTCCACTTCACCCTCAACAATAACCCTGTGAGGTAGGTTGGGCTGCGAGTGAATGACTGGCCCAATTTCAGCAATGAGCTTCATGGTCAAGTAGGGATTAAAACCTGAATATTGCAGGTTCCCAATACAATAATTATATAGTTATTTTAACTTTTGACTGTTTTTAATATTATTGGTTGTATTGTGTTGATTTTTATTGTTTCAAGATGTTATGTACTGGCTTTATTGCTTTCTAGAAAATAAATGATAATAAATAACATTAAGATCAAATAGCTACCTTCAGGCCGTGTTTTAAGGTGTTTGCTTTAAAATGTATTTGAATATTCTTCTTCTTGGGATTTGATTCCCTCTTTCTCATTCCAACTTTCTAACATTATGCTTCAGAATCCAGTCTGTGTGTACATCTCCCCCCCCTCCCCACCTCAGTGATTGGTATTATTATAACTAGCTACAAGTAAGAGTTCATCAGGGTTGATGATCAGGGCAGTGAAGAAGTAGAGTTAGAAGTCCATTCTGTAGCCCAGCACTCAACTACAGCTTTTTGCTGTTTTGCTTAGGGGTGAATGCTCCTCACTTACATGGGAGATAGTAAAGGACTGAATTCTCTATATCAGATCATTAATCTATCAGTTCCTCCAATTTTTACAGCAACCCTGACTTTATCCAGAAAAGCAAAGAGCATCTTCTTTTTAAATTGTCCTCATAGTTTAATTTGTATATTTTGTATACTTTGTTCTTGTTGTGAGCCGCCCCGAGGCTTTGTTGCGATGGGGGCGGCATAAAAATGTTTTAAATAAATAAATAAATATTTTTAGTTGTATTACTGAACTGGTTTGTTTTGTATTTCATTAAATAATCTGGAGTACTGGATTTCTATAGAACAATTATTAATAAACCTAATAAATTATAAGTTTATTTTTATTTATTATATGTATGCCCCCCTCCCCCCCCTTTTAAGGAACTCAAAGCAGCCTACATAATTCTCCTCCTCAGTCTTATCTTCACGACAATAACCCTGTCAGGTAGGTTAAGAGTATATGCTTGGGCAAAAGTCACCCAGTTAGATCCATAGCCAAATAGAGACTAGAAGCCATAAACTGCTGAGTCCCAGTCCCACACTCTTAATCATTAAACCACAGTGGCTCTCAATGATAGCTGTCTGTATGTCCTCCCATGTACCAGCATTGTACTCTAGTACAACCCAAAAAGGGCCAACTTGCTTAAGTGTTTTAGTTCCTACGGGTCTCACTGCTATTGCTGTAATTTGTAACACAATTAGAACATTCTTTTTATTCCAGATACTGAGATAATGAGGAACAATTAAGAAGTTTAGCTTCTGATGGCTTTACTATGTTCCCACCATCTCAGTTCGAATCCAAGGCAATCCATTCAACATCACAGTAGTCCAAGTCTATGCCCCAACCACTGGTGCTGAAGAGACTGAAGTTCACCAGTTCTATGAAGGCCTACACCACCTTCTAGAATTAACTCCAAAAAATGATGTCCTTATCATCCTGGGGGATTGGAATTCTAAAGTAGGAAGCCAAAAGATAACCGGAATAACAGACAAGTTTGGCCTTGGAGTACAAAATGAAGCAGGGCACAGGCTGGTAGAATTTTGTCAAGAGAATACGATGGTCATAGCAAACACTCTTCCAACAACCCAAGAGACAACTCTACACATGGACATCACCAGACGGTCAACACAGAAATCAGATTGACTATGTGCTCTGCAGCGAAAGATGGAGAAGCTCAATACAGTCAGTAAAAACAACACCAAGAGCTGACTGTGGCTCAGATCATGAGCTTCTCGTTGCAAAATTTAGGCTTAAATTGAAGAAAGTAGGGAAAAGCACTAGACCACTCAGGTATGACCTAAATCATATCCCTGATGAATATACAGTAGAGGTGACAAATAGGTTTAAGGAATTAGATCTGATAGACAGAGTGCCTGAAGAACTATGGACGGAGGTTTGCAACATTGTACAAGAGGCAGCAACTAAAACCATCCCAAAGAAAAATGCAAGAAAGCAAAACGGCTGTCTGAGGAAGCTTTACAAATAGCTGAGGAAAGAAGGAAAGAGAAAGGCAAGAGAGAAAGATACAAACAATTGAATGCAGAATTCCAGAGAATAGCTAGAAGAGATAAGAATGCCTTCTTAAATGAACAGTGCAAAGAAATAGAAGAAAACAATAGAATGGGGAGGACCAGAGATCTCTTCAAGAAAATTAGAGATATGAAGGGAACATTTCATGCAAAGATGGGCATGATAAAGGACCAAAATGGCACGGACCTAACAGAGGCAGAAGAGATTAAGAAGAGGTGGCAAGATTACACAGAAGAACTATACAAGAAAGAGCTTAACATCCCTGATAACCATGATGGGGTGGTCACTGACCTTGAGCCAGACATCGTGGAATGTGAAGTCAAACGGGCCTTAGGAAGTCTGAGCAACAACAAAGCTAGTGGAGGCGACAGTATTCCAGTTGAGCTGTTCAAAATCCTAAAAGATGATGCAGTAAAAGTGCTACACTCAATATGCCAGGAAATTTGGAAAACTCAACAGTGGCCACAGGATTGGAAAAGGTCAGTTTACATTCCCATTCCAAAGAAGGGCAATGCCAAAGAATGTTCAAACTACCGCACCATTGCACTCATTTCACATGCTAGCAAAGTGATGCTCAAAATCCTACAAGCTAGGCTCCAGCAGTATGTGGACCGAGAACTACCAGAAGTACAGGCAGGGTTTCAAAGAGGGAGAGGAACTAGAGATCAAATTGCCAACATATGCTGGATCATGGAGAAAGTTAGGGAGTTCCAGAAAAACA